ATTTGACATTTTGACCTTAGAGTTTGACCCACTTTTACACAAAAATTCCAAACTTTTACTTTGGCCATAACTTTTAGAATGGTAGGTACTAGGACCTGCATATGTATTTTTTGTAGGAAGACCTTCTATTGGATACCAACAACTTTGACCTTTTGACCTTGACCTTGAAGATTTTCATACTTATGAAAAAAACTTTTACCTTGACCATAACTTTTGAATGATAAGGGCTAGGACTTCCATACTTCATATATATAATTCTTTTGAGAAGGCCTTTCATTGAATACCAAGAACTTTGCCCGTTGACCTTGGAGTTTTTCCAACTTTTCAAAAACTTTGACCTTGGCAACAAATTTTGAACAGTAGATACCAGGACTTTCATATTTCACATATGTATTTTTGTGGTAAGACCTTTCACTTGATAGCAACAACCTTGACCTTGGAGATTTTTTGTACTTATGAGAAAACTTTAACCTTGACCATAACCTTTGAATGGTAAGGGCTAGGGCTTTCATACTTTCACATGTAATCCTTTTGAGAAGACTTTTCATTGGATACCATCAAGAATGTTAACCCTTTGACCTTGATCCTGGAATTCAGTGATAATTTCTAAATAGATGACTTATGATAGGGCGTTCATATTCGACACAAAATGTCATAAAAAATGACATCTAACCAAAAGAGACACCGAAAGCGGGGGACCACAATTCTTTGAATTTGCTTGATTCAAGTAAAAATGAAAATATAGGAATAACTTTCAAATCATGCATATTATCCCATGTTTCCCACTATCTTTGATGTCCTGGCATGGTCTCCTTACTAGACAGTGATTCCTGAGATAATCTTATTTCGGCACAAAAAAATTACCTGAAATTATGTTTGAATTACAGAATCTTAGGTAAAAGAATTCGTCAGAAGTCAAGCAACATATGCATTTGACCTTTTCGGACACAACTTAAAAGACCGTTAATTGATTTATATTCAATCGAATGAAACACATAAAGAATTCAAATATTTTTACACAGGACGATGTGCTCATTTAAATTATTGAAAGAAGTATAACACAGAATGACTTTGCCACGAACTTTTCGAAAAATAACTGTACTTAAGGAATTTCTGATTCAATTTTATCCTCAGTACTTTTCAAAAGCTAAAACCAATGAACATTAAAATCACTGGATGTTTCAAATTTTAAGAAATATGGCTCAAATTCTAAAGTTAAATCAGGATATATCTTCTATGCTCTACGATGAAAAACTTCCTTCTTGATTTTTGATACGTATATTGAAAAGAAATGGCAAAGTGAATCAACTTAATTTCATGACTCATGCATACGTTATTTAAACCAATTAATCTGCATTCATAGATTGACTCTATTCGATTCAAACGAGATACAGTAAATTTAGGATTCCCATTCATGAGTTCTTTCTTTAAAAATAAAATCCACACATAAAAAGTACTGAAACCAATTTAAGCACTGCGCAGTTTGGGATTTTAATAATAAAACACCCAAATTGTAAATATAGATAATATCAAAATTGACCAATTAACTGATCATACCTCATGCAGTGTTATTATGAGACGGCTGTTTAGATCATTTTCCTTAAATAAGAGGACACTTTTCTGATACATCAATAAGAAATTTTATAATTACATGTGTTTAGGTTTTGTTACCTGAAACCATAGTATTTTGCAACTTTAAAGTGTTTGTCTTGCTTTCCTCATTTAAAAAAAAGATCTGGAACCGTGCACGTTCGCTCACAGATGAATATCAGATATTAAGGTTTAATGATTAAGGTTTCTCTAGATCATTTGGAGATTTGGAACTGGGAATGTAATGGCAAGTAGCTATCAGTTCTTTAAATGTACAATGAATCTGTATTAATGAAAGGGTGTCTGAGTTATACATGTAATATATGTTTTAAAAAAGGGTTTTTTCCGATCATTAATATCTAAATGAAATAAAATATTTTTTTTTCTATTCTGATGTGTTAAACAGCTGTGTCGTATTCTCCTTTTTGATAGAGGAATGTGTCGGAACTCTTCAGATTCTCTTATGAGTTTCAATGAAGATGCCTTTCAACAATAGAAATAATTTTTAAACAAGAACTGGACGTAACATTTTTCATTGATCAATATGTAGTCTCACATATAATTATCCTTAACAGTATTTGGGATTTCACGCGAATTATATTTATTCTCATGTGTATTCACCATTTACTTCCAGAAATATACACATCTAGTTCAAGTTCTTTTATTTCTTATAATTATTTAATAATTATTTCTTAGCGTCATACGATACATCTGATGTACACACGGGCACTAGTTTCGGAAATAAATTTTTAACCCATTTTAGTACAAAAATAACACAAGATATCTAACTCCGAATCACTCGGAATATCCCCTCCTAAGAAACTCAATCATTTACACTTTTAGACAAAATGCAATGGCAATGTTTTACAAAAGGACTTACGACTTAAGACCAAATTTAATTCTTCAATCAATCGGTGTAAAATCTCCTGAAAAAAAAGCTTGAAAACATCTCGAGATATCGCACAGAAGCAAAAGTGTTACAGACAGACAGAAATTCAAACAACTGGACAGATAGTTGAAATGAATATCCTCTATTTTCAGTCAAAGCAGGGGACTAAAATTACGATCAAAACCAATCACGCCATTCATTGTAATTTTTAAACAAATTTAACATGGTTGCGTTCACGGGTTTTTGCTCGTACATGTATTGATGCCATCCATCCTGAATCATTGTATTAGCTTGAATGATTAGTTCTCATTCAACATACCCATAATCGAGTTTGTGAAAACAACTGACTGAAGTATTTGTCTATTGTTATTTGATAAAGAAAAACCAAATAAACCAAGTAATGCTTCCGCCTGAGATTTGAAAAAATCTCATATAATCATAAGTATGGAAATATCTTAAAGAATCCCACACTTTAAGTAAAAGAAGACATAGGAGGGATCGATAGGGGTAGGTACTCTATGAAGAGAAAGCGGGGTTAGTGAGTTATGGTTTAATATTTCTTTGCGTAGGCTCAAAAACTTCTTGATATATTGCCTGGATAGGAAAGTTTTACGGACACAGAATGTATGAATTAACCACCTTGATATTTGACCTATTGACCTAAAAAAAAGATACGGGTCTTCCTCGGGGATTTGATATGTAATATGAAATATAAAATGGCAAAACTTCAGAGGCTTCCCGAGAAGTCGTGCGGAGGCAAGTGTCAAAAGTGAGAGAAATGATGAATTTATTACCTTAACTGTTGACTTTCAAGCCTTTAAAGCATTAGGGGTCTTTCTTAGTTCATAAGAACTTCTTGTGTAAAACTTCATTGCAAAATCTACTTGAGATATAGCACATAAACGAAATTGTTATACACCAGTTAGACATACAGGCGGACGATGACTGATAAATCAAAATTAGTACACTCTACAATTTCATCGGAATACGATAATTAGACGCATAGAGATATATTATATATCCAGAAGTATCAAAAGTATGGAAATTTCATAGGTTGATTGTACATTGTTTCATGTACCTCTCGGAATTTTTCACTCATATGGTGACACCACCACTTGCCATTGGAGAGCTGAAAATATTATATTCGACACTCAGGCCAATTGAGCAGGGAGGGAACCTACTGCGACAGGGGACCTCGGTTTTTTCAGTCTCATCCGAAGGATCGGTCTCCACCTCCCACAGAGGGATTAGAACCCGCGACGTAAGGATCAACTCAGGGCTCTAAGTAAGCTGTTTCACTGTGTTGCTCCCGACACAGTAAAATTTTTCTCCGACACAGTAAACGATTCAAATTTTATGCGTGCGACACAGTAAAAAATTTTCCCGACACAGTGAAATTTGTGATAATTAGAAAATCCAAACATATAAGTTCTCTTAATAACTGAAACTTTAATCAAATATTTCTTTCAATTCTAAAAAGGTAGAATACTTAATTACTACGGCTTCACCTTGTATAATCAATTATTTCTTAGACCCTTGCTGGACTTTACGCATGAAGGAACAAAGACAAATAATTTGTTTTCACATTTCCATGTAACTGTTAAGTGGAGTTGCTTTTAAATGGATTGTATTATTTTTTAGGAAAAAAATAAATATGTCTTTTCTATAGATCCTCAGCATAAGAATTCTGTTAGCAATGTAAGTCATTTCATAACATAACAACGAACCTTGAAATCTTGAACATGTTCAAGGAAGTATTGAAATGTATTTTACTATTCTGAAGTTAATCAAGGCAAATTTACTTTTAAAAATGTTAACTGAAGTAGTTCGACTGTATCGACTAGAATTTTTTCTGCTTTTTCAGAACATGTGATTTTAATTTTTCTCAATATGCACGACCATACCATTTATGTGGCGAATAAGGGACCTTTTTAAAAAAAAAAAAGTCTGTGCATGTATTCTTTTGTAATTATAATGAATTGTATTATTAGGTTGCAAATTTGATCGTGAAATTACCGCAAAATTTTAGTGCTTTGCGTAAACTCTGCAACACGTAAAACCCTGCATCTCCTTGTTCAGCGACTCTAGAGCACACACTTTAAACATTGCACCAAGGGCGACATATTAAAAGTAGGAAATTTGTTTTTATATTAACAGAAAATGGAGGTAGAGAAAAATCTATTGTTCTGTTGACTTAAATCAAAACCGGCTTGAATACTTCTTATTATTACTTTCATTACTTTGTGATTTTTTATTCTCTTTTCCTTAGGGGGTTGAAGTTCTATTTACTATAAAAACAATAATAAGGCCTTGTCTTTCATAGTTATTTTGTTTAAATATTATCTAAAACAATTCTTCTGTCAAGGATGATAAGGATTAAAATTTCAAAATATAAATGTTTGAACATCCCATATACTACTAATACCCATTTCTGCAAGAACCTTTCTGAAATAAAGTTATAAAATATATGGTGTTTTTCAATTTCTAGAGTGAAAAATGATGGAGAGGCCAGATGATTTGTATAAAGAAAAAATTCAATCTCTGTGGGGGGTAATCAAGAAAGAGGTTCGACTTTCTGATATCGCCGACTCCATGGTGGAAAATGGAATTCTCTCTTTGGAAAACTTAGAAGAATTGAAGATCGCACATCTCACAGAGAGAGCGAACAGAAAAGTTCCTCCTTATTCTAACTAATCAGAATGATCAAAAACACTACCAAACTTTCATTGACGCGATTCGAAACACCGGACGTCAAGACTTGGCGTCAAGACTTCTAAATAAAGGTGATGTTTTTTTGAAAATTTTATTTCATTTACCCTAAAATAGTCTGTTAAAAAATCTTTTTCAAACTATCCCGTAGAAGACAAAACTGAAGTCGGTTCACACAGTTGAATTCTTCGTGAATAATTTTACATGGTCCCCCATTTTATATTTCATAATGTAAGGAGAATAAGTTTCAGCGTCCATATAACACAAAATTATACTTGTATCATCTTGGGTTTTTTTTCACAGACATCAACTACTCTCATCGTTTTCCAGTCAGCCAACAGATGTACAATGAGGTAAATGCAATAACATTTTTGAATTGATTTAAAGAATATATCTTTATTAATTTACGTTTGCAAAAGAAGCATACAAATTACCACAAATAAAGCTTTCTTTGCTGTAATTGTTTTCCATTTTGAATAATTTTGCATTTATCATTTGAATATAAATTTTATAAACAGTTCTTAAATCTTTATTGAAATGGTGTTTATGATGTTATTTATAGAGAGCTGGTGCCTATGATGGGGGTGCAGAGTCAGGGTATATAGGCTCGAACACCTCAACGAGAGAGACCGAAGTTCAACAATTAACGCCTCGATTCGATCCGAGGTTTCAACCAATAGGATTGGCACATTGCAAAAGGGATTCCTCCCTTTTAGATATCCAAAATAAAATAAAGTATGTCCTTACAGAACAAAAGTCCACAGGGAGAAAACTAGAAGTTCTTACAGAAAGCAATGAAACTATAGAAAATCAGATAGCAGATATGTTTGAATATATGAAAACAAGGTTTGAAGCTTTTGAATCATACCACAAAGATATAAAGATGGAAAATGAAGTTCTGAGAAAGCAGAATAATGATCTACTTTAAGAATGCAGTAAGAAAGAAGAGGAAATAGACATTCTTAAGGCTCAGATACACATGCCAATATCAGATTTAGATGAATCATACAAAGAGAAATATGAAACTTTGCGGGCCACACAAATTGAACTCAAAAAAACTATTGAGGAAAAGGGAAAGCGAATAAAAAGCCAGAACGTGGAAATCGTCAATTTTCGTAAAATATTTGCTGATGTGTTTTCTATTCCCCACTCCGAAGATATCGGCAACATCAGGAAATATGTTGAATGCTTTAATGGTGGTATACAAAGTCTGAAACATGAGAACGAGTCCTTAATGTACACGATAGAAATGTTAAGGAAAAATAGCTGGACAACGAGGAATCGTCAGTTGGAAGAAGATGGGCTAATGAATGAAGAAGACATACCAGGAGATGAAAATCAAATACCAATCAGAGAAAATCAGTTTTTTGAAGAAGAAACAACCAGTGCACAGAAAGTTAAAAAGGTTAAATTTAGAAATAGACGAAGAGCTCAGAAAGGAGCAAGGAAAGAGGAACTGTCCAAAAAATGAAAGAAAAGCAAATTTACATAACAGAAAATCGATATTTTTATTTTCTAATATTTGTAATATGATGGAAGAGTGAGAAATCAGCAAAATTTCTTAGATTTAAAATCACTCTGGTTATTTTGAATTTAATATTAAAAGAATGCTGCAGTTCCTCATTAAGTTGGTCTTAATTATAAGTGACGGAGTTCTCCAACAAACTGTTGGAAAATCAATGGGCACTAATTGTGGTCTTTTATATTAAGCTGACCTTTTTTGTGTTCTTCTGCAGTATAGTTTATTCTAAAACGTCCTCATGAGGAGAGAAATACACTTGTGAAAGCCTTCAATTCGACATTTATATATACATGTCTTTCTATAATTTATCAATTAAAAATTGCTATTTTCATCGATATACTCGATATACACGTATCGGAGTAAAGAAGAAGGTATGGTTTCCATACAAACTTTGCCCTGTTATTTTCTTAAAAAAGAACTGGTGTAAAAGTTGAAAACTCATACTTTTGAAATAATTGAAATTCAATGCAGAAAAATCATACCAGTCATTTTTCTCACATGTGTTTTTAAATGCTAATTATGACGTCATTAACATGTGCATTTTCCCGTATTTTCTTAAAAAGTTGCAGAAGACACCAATTTTCAACGGAATTGTCTTTCAGATAACATTGTCCACAGGCATCGCCCACAAAGATCTTGAGATATGTGATTTGTTATTGAATTTTGCACAAAATATCAAAAAATTAACATGGGCGACGGATGTGGACACTGTTTTTTAAAAGGAAAATCACCCTTGAAATGTGCCATTTTGAGGCTTTTTCTGTTGAAAATAGAGAAATGCTTCACATTTATGACGTCATTTTTGCAGAACGGTAAACCTTCATGCCATATTCTTTCTTGATTTATCAGATTCATTTATTTAACTTGTATTGTAGCCAGTTTCAAAACTTTTTGATGTCATTACATTTTTAGGGCGCAATAAAGCTAAAACCATACCTTCTTCTTTGTCTGCACCGTCTCTTTCAAATTCAGATGTTTTACTGAATACAAACGATAAGTACCAATTAACAACTACCGGTACATGTAATTTAATGACAAAAACAATGGCTTTTCCATCGTCAACTTACCTTATTTATGTAGTAATATCCCATTATATTACCTGTTGTTTTTTTTTGGTGATTGTTTCTTCCTACTTCTTTGTCACTCAAGTGTTTGCTCTGATTACAGTCAATTTTTAAAGCAAGACATGCTACTCACAGATAAATTGATATAAAAGAAATTTCAAAAAAACTTTTTTAAAGTCAGCTTTTTGTAAATTCTATGATCATTACAAAAACACCGTAAGTGAATACAACTTATTATTGGGTATTTTTGGCTGATTTGATTCAATGTATATGTAAGTCCTTCATTTTATACTGGATTTGACTATTCCGTTAATCCTTTATCAATTCAAAGGGCTCACAGAGGAGATAAAGCGGTCAACAGGGGATTCTTAGTCTACCTATGCACCTCATCCCTCCTCTGGAAATTCCAGTGGTCGGTGTTTTATTCCCTCTGCACTTTTTTGTGTTGTTTATGGATTTGTTTAAGATCGATCACTTTTCGTTATCTTCATCATTTACATTGACGAGAATGTGCTTCAATAATACTTTAAGACTCTTGGTTTGTATTCTTGTTTCTAATATGATTTCTATTTTGTGAGTGTTTTTAAATATGTTAATGTCCACTTCTAAATAATGAAATTATACAATAAAAACGTTTATTTTATTTTTTTTAAATATTGCTTTATGTATAAACATAGCTGGATTAAAAACCAGGCACTGTCTATATAAGTCCTCTTCATTTAATAACCGTATAAGATCTAAGAATCGATTTTGGAAATATTGACAATGAGTAAAATTCATTTTACTATTACTTATATAGCAGATTTTCAATTTGGCATGATTATATAAGCAACTTATTTTATCTATAATTTGATCACACTAATTTTCCAAATCTTTTATTTCTTAATCTTCAAATTATATCCTGGTAGTGCCAGGGAAACTGACTAATGAATGCAATTATTCAAACAGAATCATTTTTAAAATTTCCATTCATTTTTTTTTATTTTGCGTTTTTCTACATCAAGTGTAGAAGAGCAGAAATGGAGGACTACTTATCCATTTATTATGCTTGTCAGAAATTTTAAGAAATTTTTTTAACAGTATGTTTTTTTTCTTGATCTTTTTTCCAGTCAATTCTTTTAATGGGGATGTCCACTCCCTTTTTCCCATGCGCATTCATACATTTGAAATTGTTTGAACGGGTCTATGATATAGTTTCGACTAGAGGCTTAAATTAATACATATTTAAACATTGTACGTAAGTCAACTAAGCTGTTGAGATAGGCGTCGAGTCAAATTGCATGTCAAGCCACAATCAAAGTGTTCAATAAATATTATTATACCTCTACTGTAATTATTATATTCCCCAAACGAAGTTGGGGAACATATTGTTTTTACTATGTTTCTTCTTATTATTTTTTTTCTTCTTCCTGGGAAAATTTTGTCTACGAATGATCTTATAAACTACACATCCGACTTAGGTGAAACCTTTTAAGGGTCAGTAGGGATGTTTTGTAGAGTTGCCGAACGAAGGTCATTTTGCGCGCACGTGCTTGCAAGAGCGAGCACATGCAACACGTGAAATGACCAATATAATGTATATTGCCGTAACTTTTCTAATTTTTGATGAAATGTTTTGAAACTCATAATGTAAGGATATATTAGAATAAAAGGATATATTAGAATAAACAGACAAAATGACATGGTCATTATAGCAAAATATCATGCGCATGCACGTGCGGGTTGCTCTGATTGGCTGAAACTAAAGCCTCAATATCTTTCTTGTTTTACGTCATAATCATTTGAAATTTTGAACTAAGTCACACATTATGAAGATCTACAACATGATATATAAGAATTTATATGAAAACATGTACATGCACGTGTGCTGGCAAGAGCGCGCACGTGCAACATGTGAAATTCCCAATATAATGGATGAGGCCGTAACTTTTCTATTTCTTGATGGAATTTTTTGAAACTCACAATACATGGATATGTTAGTTGTATAGACAAAATGACATGGTCAAAATAGCAAGATCTTACGCGCATGCACGTGCGCTTCACTCTGATTGGCTTAAACTAAAGTCTTAATATCTATCTTGTTTTACGTCATAATCCTTTGAAATTTTGAACATAGTCATACGTTACGAAGATCTGCATCATGATATATAAGACTTATTATGAAAGCACGTAAATTCATGTGTGCTGCAATCTGATTGGCTGATAATTTAAATGCCTATAACTCTGTTGTTTCTCAACAAAATAGGATGAAATTTAGAATATGAATAGGTATAATAGATTTCTACATGATACTACTATCAAAATTGAATGCAAGGACGTGATTGCATGCCCTAGCGCACGCGCAATGCGTAAAATGAACACTATTTTTGAAAAACGGTAAAATTTATATTTTTATGATTTGTTGATTCTTGGAATATAAAGATGTGTTAATGGTTTAGACAGCATGCCATCATCACCTTCCATGTACATGCACGTGCGTTTCCTTGCAATACATCAAATGATAAATAGTTAATATCACTGTAGCTTTTTAAATTCTTTAAAGAAATCGTGCGATACTGAGCATATGCTAAAAAAAGTTCTAAATATTCGAACGGGAGTTGGGGGCGTTTGGGAAACATCTGTAACGGTTCCCGTTACAATTAGAACTCTTTCTATATAAAATCAATACTATAAAACTATTTCCCCGAAAAGAGACTAGTTCTCTCATCTGAGGACTACTACCTAGAAAATCAGAGCTACTCCCTGGGACTACTCATGCATGAATATTATGAAGTAATTTTAACCAATCAAAGTGTTCAGTGGGCGGAGCTTTTAAGGAATCGCGAGTCTGTGACGTTATGTTATTAGCAATGTAACTATGACGTCCAAACATTTCGACGTGCGATGTCAAAAATATATGAAGACAACAATTATGAAATGTCAGTGAAAATACTTTTTGAAAATAAATTTAATTGTTTCAGGACACGATGTTTTACTTATCATAAAATCTGTTAAATCGCATGCATTTGTTATCATGCCTCGATAGTTGTTTTTTTTAAATGTCGGAATATCTGGTAAAAAATTAAATCGCCTTTGATTGTTTCCGCCTGGGGAAATAGTTTCCTCCCTCGGAGAACCATAAATTTGCTATTTCCCTCGTACCCATTCCATAACTGTATATTGGACATTTCATGTCTCCTAACTATTGCTTTAAGTTTTTAAATGTATAATTGTTATTCACTGTTGAAGTATTATTACGTATATTTCAGTGTAATCAATACAATTTGAAAACACTTGGCTATGTACATGTAGTAATGTATTTGAAGTACTCGTATATAACCATGCATGCACTTCACAATATGTAATGATTAATTCATGTTTTCATTCTTACTTGCACGTATTGTTTATATTGATTTTTTTTCATATTACATTTTAACTAAATATATAAAGTCATCAAGATACATATGTACTGAAGCATTTATCAAAAGAAAGTAGAAATTTAAAATGATAGTACTATTTAAATGTAATTGGGCGACTCCCCAGTGTGTTGCATTTCCCATAACAACTTCGCTCTACGAACGAACTACT